AACTCGTCACCGCTATCGCTGCCACGCAAATTCGGCACTGAGCACGCGACTACCAAACAGCTCACCCTCTGCGGAGGCGAGAGTCTGTGGGGACTTCTCAACAGCAGCATGATAATATCTCGCGACCTGTACAATGCCTCTCCACCGCTGCGCCGAACCCGCATGGCCAACAACCCGACTCTCTTGTATTCGTGGTGGTGCACCGTTTTCTCTGCCGTCATCATAGGCGTCCGGCTGTCTGGCCGCTACATCCGCAATGAACGACTCTTCCGCGAGGACAAGATCATGGCGCTCAGCATCATCCCACTGTTTGCGCGTATGGGCTTTGTGCACGTGGTCCTCATCTGGGGCACCAACAATGTCAATGTTTCGACTTTGACAGACCCGCTCATCATCCGCCATCGCGAGATCGGTTCTCAGATGGTCCTCGCCTCGAGGATCTTCTATGCGTTGTTGTACGTGCAGTCATCAACTTTGTTAGAGTGCGACTAACCCCATGCCAGCATCTGGATGGCCAAGTTCACCGTTTCCGAGTTTCTAAAGCGTTTGACAGAACGTTTCTGGAAGAAAGGGTACGATTGGGGACTGCGTGGCATACGCATCTTCCTTGTCGTTACTTTCTTCATGGTCCTCATTGCCACACTGGCAGAGTGCCACCCCACCTCCCACTACTGGCAAGTCGTGCCGGATCCAGGACCGCAATGCCGACAGGGTTACGCGCAGCTGCTGACCATGGGAATCACCGACATCGTCACCGATATATTTCTGATCGCCTTTCCGATTCCGATCATCGTGCGTTCGAGCATGCCATTAAAGCGAAAGATCTCTCTCACTGTGCTCTTCTCCTTGTCAGTCGTCCTGATCGTCGTAACTGGGACGCGAATGCCTCTGGTCATCCAACGACAAGGCCTACAACAGTTCCGCACTGTATTCGCTTCTTCGGAGATCTTGGCTGCAACCATAGTTTCAAACGCCATCATCCTAGGATCGTTCCTTCGCGACCGAGGTGTTAAGAAAGCCAAGTTCAAAGCACCATCAACTACAGACAGCATGGAACGCAGAGGGTCTGCAAGACGCTTCACGGACCAAACATGCAGTAGCGACGAAGACCTCGCACGATCGCTAGGGTACCGGACAAAACCCGAACTACTCGAGAAGCAGACAAGCGTTCCTAGACCAGCTCCTGTGGCTGATCTTGACCTTCTGTCGTCTTCTAGACAACCAGGCCCTTTTGTCAACAACAACTGGAGATTCCCCGACGAAGAGGCTGGCATGATTCAGAGCAGCGACCGATCCAGCGTGACAGTCGAAGATATACGGGATCCGATGCCTAGTCCTCGTGCAAGAAGAGTGTCGTGGTTCGATGTTGGAGGCCTGCTTGAGAATCAAACTGTAGCTCCCTCGCCCACCGATTCAGTCATCGCGCACGACTTCGCAACCCAGCCACGGCGGGGGTCCAGAGCCTCGAACACAATCATACCAAATGCGCGTGCATTTTTGCCTCAAGCACGGCGCAACTCTCGACTTTCGCAACAGTCTGAGGACTACGAGATGTCATCTGTCCGGCCCACCCACCAGTTGCAGGACCTCGGCGGCTTGCTTTCCGAAGATCGCGAACAAGAAGAAGCTCTCTCAACCCCCTCTCCACACTCGGGCTCCTCAGCCGGTCCTCCTCGCAATGAGCGATACGCGCCCATACAACGCACGTCAACGCGCTCAACACAAGCAAGCTACGATGCTCTGTCTCTACGAGATCCTGGAGGCTTGCTTTCTTCCGCACCCCCTCCCACGTCTCATCGACGCAACCCTACCCAACATAGCCGCAATGTGCCGTCCTTACAGGATGCTGGCGGCCTTCTTGGTTGACGACTCCCTTACTACTTTACATACCCCCTGCGTGATACCCCGGCCTCCATGGCCTCTTTGCATATGCATAGCCTGCCTAATGCTTCCCATGTTATTTTTTCCTTTTCTTTTGTATAGTACGCGAATCGCCCCCACGTGGCGGTCGCGATGGGTTGATGACTGATGGGTTACGACATTTCCGGATGCGATACCCATGGGCCATCAGAGATCTAAGATGTATGTCGGAGATTACGATCTAGAGTCAGGACTTGTGTATAATAGCAATATACCCAACGCGTGGCGTTGTTGAGGCGTACGTCACGGCAGTAAATTGCCGACCTATAAATGAAGTCAATATGCACTCTCGGCTCCTTGATCCTACATCCGGGTAGCACACGTGTGAAGACACAGGGTTTACGCTAAAAGGAAGTCGAAAAAGCGATTACCGAGCGCATGGTTCAGCATCCAACGCTCCAGCCCTGTGGAACGAATAGCGTTCGGGTATTATTCACGATGTCTTGGCTGTCAACGGCGCGGGAAGGAGCTGCAGGGCGTCGGTCAAAGCTCGCACTATTACCAACAGCAACCACCGTGCCACTCTAGCACCCTTTGCGGTAGCCATTCAACACCATCGCGAAAGTGGTGCTGTCAGATATGAGCAATGACGCGCCGACGCTTGGAGAGATCACCCAACTAACCCGTCAAGAACTTACTACGAGGCAGAAGACCGATCCTATTCGCGAATGCGGACGCGCCGCGCTCTCGCTCCTTCCCAACGACTTCGAGCTTGGCCTCAAGCTTGCGTATCAGAAACTACACGATGTGCCGTATAGGGAGGTGAAGACGTGCTGGCGCAGGCTGTACACGGATGCGAGCTTGTGGAAGGTGTTGAAGCTGGTAGGCGACGAGCGTGATGAGCACCTGTGCGAGACCCTCCCGGAGGCTGGGGGCGACAAAGAAGAAGTCGATTCAAAGAGTGACTGGGTCGACGAAGTGGTGCGGATACTGGATATGACGCTCATACTGACAGGCGCACCTGAGAGGGGGGAGCTCGTAGAGCTATGGTTTGCAGCGCTGAAGGCTGTTTTGACTCCTCCAGATTCACATCTCCATACAGAAGTTTCAGAGAGGCCGCGCAAGAGGAGACGACTACCATCTGAGGGTCAAACATCGCGCCTACCAGCAAGCTTCGCAACGGTGCTTCCCGATCCTCCACCCTCCCTTCGATGTGCGATTCCACGAACGAAAGAGCTCAGCCTGGAGGCTTTCCAGAAGAGACTCGGTGACACAAACACCCATACACCACTCATCATCGAGGGTGCGATACAGCATTGGCCCGCTATTGATGAGAGGCCGTGGCACGACCCCGCATATCTGCTAGAGCAGACGCTTGGTGGTAGACGGCTCATACCGGTAGAAGTAGGAAAGAGCTATACCGATGAAGGCTGGGGCCAGCGTATCATCACCTTCCGTGACTTCATGGAGACATATATGCTCAAGGGTCAAAGAGAAGCTGTCTTGGCCGCAGCGCATACAGACACGACGCAGAGCCTTGAACACGATGAGGCAGATAGCAGCACGAAACACACACCCACCGGCTACCTAGCCCAACACGACCTCTTCGCCCAAATCCCCTCCCTACGCGCCGACATCAGCATACCCGATTACTGCTACTGCGAGCCCGCTCCATCCCCCCACCCCACACACATCAAGCCCGTCGCGAAACTCGAAGAACCTTTGCTGAATGCTTGGTTCGGCCCCGCAGGCACCATATCACCCCTCCACACTGATCCCTACCATAACATTCTCGCGCAAGTCGTAGGATACAAATACGTGCGTCTGTACGCACCTGCAGAAACGCAGCGTCTGCATCCGAGGAGTACGGATGAGAGTGGTGTGGATATGAGTAACACAAGTCAGGTTGATTTGGGTGAGGCTATGGCTTTGTATCCTGCGATATCTTGTTGGGGGTCTGGGGGAAGCTGTGAGGAATACAAGGACGAGGTTCTCTGTGAAAGGAGACAGGAGTTCGAAGAAGACTACCCTGGTTTCAAAGACGCACAGTATATCGAAGGTATCATAGCACCAGGCGAGTGTCTCTATCTTCCAGTGGGTTGGTGGCATTACATACGCAGCCTCACGCCGAGCTTCAGCGTAAGCTTCTGGTTCAACTAGACAGTCATCGTATTTCTCTTCTTCTATATATCACACATTCAATCCATACACGTATCCAGTTCCTCTCTTCCACCCACCAGTCCTCCCACCACCCCTTCTTCCTCCTAGTAACCCCATCAACACCAGCAAGATTTCCACTCTATAATTCCCACCCCCTTCTTCCTCCTCCCAACAACCCACCTAAGCACGCCGCGCACGGTCCGGACACCTCCCACACACGCCCTTCAACGTCCCACGATGCACGGTATCCGGCACTCCGCTCCCGCAGACTCCATCGCGCTCGTTCCAGTATGCACATCGCCGGTAAAGATCTGTGTAGACACAATAGCAGCCTTCGTAGGTGGTTTCTGCCCATTCGCACATGGTTGTGTTGGTGTTTGGGGTGGTTGGGAACTGGATGTGGACGTACGCAATTAGAGCATGTCGAGCATACGGTTCGTTCGCAATCACTTACGAGATATGAAATGGTATGACCAGTGGAGAGACTGAATTCGATTGCGTAGTTCGAGAAGTAAACTGGAGTTGAGCTGTGTACGTGGGTGCTGAGAGCGGTTTGAGGTATCTTGCTGTGCTGTAACGGTGATGTGTGTGATCTGGATAAGATGTATAGCTTGGTGTATGATAGAGGTTCTGGGGTTATACGAAAGGCGGGAAGCAGATTGTTTTTATACAGTATGCGTTGTTTGGAGTAGTGGTTTCCATTCTCGTAGTTGGACGACGATGTTGAATGAGTCCCTCATCACGAGTACTATGGCCGTCTGCTCTTCCATCAGTGTTGCTATTCTCCTCATGCCATATTCCCTGTCTTTTTCTAGACGTATACGAACATTTTGCTTGATGAGATTAAATGGATGCTTCCATGATCATGACTGTAAACATAGATGCCATCGGACACAACTGATTGAATCATGACATATGCTCTTAAACACTCTTCAGACCCCAACGAAATACCTCCCTCCCCCTCTCTCTCTCCCATCCACCTACCCAAAAGCCGGAGCCAGCGCATACCCCACAACCAACTCCTCGCCCTGCCTAAAGCAGCTCCACAGATTCCCGACACCCTCATCCAACGCAGGACTAAACACATTGCCCACATAGCAAAACACGCTCTCGTGTTCCTTCACACCCAGTCTCTTCCGCAGAAAACGTACTATTGTTGCGAAAGTCTGGTTGGTGGACAGCTTGAAGATGCGTTGGGTTAGGTGGGGGGCTGAGCCTATGGGTTGGAGGCGTATTGTTACTATGGTGGGAGGTTAGCGGGAAGTGAGAGAGGGGAGGTTGACCGGGACGGGATGGTAGGAAGTAGATGGGGGATGTCAAGTGTTTTCGTTGATGATGGGTTGGAACATGGGTAGATGAAAGCGGACGGGGATACCTTTCTGAACAGCGAGATTTCCTGCTGTTTCCAACGCTTTCGAGGCGTCTTTGGGGAGATTGGTTAACACGACTGAGGCTGCCATGGTGAGAGGCGCTTCTGTTGTGTCATCTTCCTCAGGCATCCTCTCTTTTGGTGATTCGGACATGGTGAGGGTGGATGTGTACTGATGCGAAGCGAAGAGTGAAGTGTGGATACAGCAGCTATTTTGGGGTGACGGTCAAAGGTCCAAGAAGAGGAATGCGGACTGATTTGAGAAAAGCGAATGTTTGTGGGTTAGTGTTCGTTCGAGGCAAGAACGATGGTCACGATGGAAGGTGTAAACGTCGGCATAGCCAATCAGCGCCCCACTACCCCAACATCACTTCTCGAATGCGCAAGACCGTTCATCAACCATGTCATCTTTCGCATTGATATCTAGTGTGTTCTACATATCTGATACGATAATGATATATAACATAGCCTCCAGTATGGCGTCGTCCGCGTTCGTCGCCAAGTAACCTCCTCAGTATGACAATGTTCTACAAACCTCAATAGTAGTACTAACCCTCGTTTACTGAAAACACACGCGTGCACACCACCAGCCAGCCGGTTTGCAAAGCGCAACAACCAGCAAAGATGACCCGAAGGTCATGACGCAATAGCTATATACAAAGGGGATGCATGCATCGTTAAGCCACTAGGGATCAGTGATCATGGGCCTATACAGGGTAAGGAAATGGAGCAAGTCAAGCTATGTCGCCAATAAGGGGAAAGGTAGAAGCTGCGCCTCGAAAATGCTATGGAAACGGGTATTCGCTCGCAGAGTAATGCCATGCGCCCGGGGGCGAGAAGTGAACAACAGGTGCGATAGGAAATTATGTCGTGGGTATTAGTGAGGTCGTGCATTACGCCGTAAGGAATGCAATGTGTGGCCGTGTAGTCTGCATGAGCCGCAAGGCTCATCGACGATCAAGTTGGGCGAGTAGCTGATCAAGCTCAACCCAGTTGTCCGTGGTGACTGCGAACTTGCGGTGCTTGCGGGAAACGACGTGCTGTATGTTGTCAGTATGCTGTTTGTAAAGGAATGCTCGTAGTGCGTACCTCGTCAAAGTCATTGAACTTCTCCCTGCAGTTCTCGCAGTAACCAGGCTTCAGCTCCTTCTCAGCAGTCTTGCGCCTGCGGAGGGCAGCTGCTTTACGAGCTTGTCTTTCTTCGTCTCCATCATCGTGTGTGTGACCCATGTTCTCCTGGGCCTTGCGCTTTGCCGCGCGCATGGGTTGAGAATGCTCATAGCTGAGCGCAGCCCTGACATCGTTTGTAACGGACGAATGGCCACTATTCGTATTCGCCGACGGTACGCTGTTCTTCTCGAGGACCTTTCGTTTCAGCTGGTTGACTTCCTTGCTGTTTCCAGCACGAGGGGCAGCAGCAGTCGAGGAGATCATTTGCGAGCGGATAGCGGACGTGATGTTCGATTGGTGTACACCAGACGCGACCGGCTCACCAGCGATGAAACGGGGCATGGCTCGGATGCTAGCCTGAGCACTGCCAAACATGGGTGGTGGGCCGTCTGCCGTGTTGCATCGCTTGGGAGGAAGGGCCTTCGGAGGATCTAACGGTTTCGCATCTCCATCCTGTTCTTCTTTGACGATGGCAGCAGGAGCGCTGGGACGCCTTGCCAGGTTGTTGTTCTCTCCCAAAGCATTCTTCTCTTCCATAGCTGAAGCAGCACGCGTCCGTGGCGCTTGGGCAGCCTGCCTTCGGCGTGCTTCCTGCTCTTCTTGCTGTCGGCGGCCGAAATGGGGATCCTCCACGAACGGGCACTTGCCGTTACCTGAGGCACGGAACTGCGGCCATTTGCCCTTCTCTTTCTCAACCTTCTGGTATTCTCGGATCATGACGGGTCGGGTAACCTCGTCCATATCGTGCACGTAGACGTAGTATCCACGGAGCGGAATCATGTCCTGCGAGGCCATGACGTAGTCGCGGTCCAACTTCTCATTTTGTAGCAGCCTTTGCAGATCGGCAGGACGACCCTTGTGCTGCGTAGCCACCGCCTGACGTGTCGAATGGGTAGACGCGTCCTCCCCAGTTTCCTTGTTGAACATGGTATCCACCATGCGCTGCAACTTCTCGACGGACCATATCTTCATACCCAAGCTCTTAGCCTTGTACAGGATATCACCACGGTCGGACTTCTCGAGGGCGGCATCGAAGATGGACTTCTTGTTCTCCAGCTGGGCCGGATTGACGGTACCTTTGTGGGAGGATGAACTGCCATCGAGGTCGGCGGGGATGGAACGCGTCGTGATGACATGGGTGACTTCCCGAGAGAAGAACTTGACTTCTCGCTGGTGACTGTTAGCACGACGGATGTAGGGAAGGGTATGCCAGACGTACGGAACCTAGGACGCGTGCCCTGTTCAAAAGTTTGTCTTTCTGGGGTTCTGAGACGCTGTCAAAGTAGAACGCAAACTGGGGAAACAGCTTGCGGTAGTGACGCTGCCATTGTCGAATCGTTTCTAGGTCGTGTGATGCACGCTGTGCGGCCTGCTTTGATGGGGCCTTGGTCTCTCTTGCTGCTTCCAGCTTGCGAGTCAAAGCCGTGGGCTGGGCCCCACTCCGACGAATAAGGCCGTGACGGCGAGCTTCAGCATCATCGACCTCGATGAGCTGTTTTTTGGGTGGTGGCTGGCCATAGGGGACATCGCGTTGCTCGCTGGCGTGGGAGCGTTGGCGCTTTCCTCCTATGGCAGTCGCGCGTAACGGGGAGTTGGTAGCGTTTTGCAGGTTGGCGAGGGGGACGCGCCGGTTCGACATGACTGAAGGAACCTGGGGCGACGGAGGAACAGCCACTGCTGCCATACGTAGGATAGCGGCTGAGGGTGCTTCGAGGTGTAATAGATGGGCGTGGTGGGAGGGGCACGTGTGCGTGTAGCTCACGACGCGACGGTACAGGCACGTCGAGGTTTTCTAGCAACGCGTAGCAGCCATGTCGATGCGAGGGAGCTTCAGAGACCGAGTAAGATGTTGACGACACAGCAATTGAGCGAAGGTGAAGCGCGTTGCAGACGTCGATCTGCTTTCATCGACTAAGGAAAGAGTGTCTTTGTTTGGTCCGGAGGCTGGGTACAGTATGATGCAGGTGCAGGCTAGAGCGACTGTGGTTAGCCTGAAAATCTCGCGCGAACCATCCACAACATCATTTGCCTAGACAACGACCTGGGCAAACAATACACCCTTGCCGACAACACCGTCAGTGCGCCCTGCACGACATCTCGCGTCTGCGAATCTCCCACCGTATTGCTGGCTCACGATTCAGCGTATCAGGGGAAGATTTGCAGCTTCTGCATGCGGCGCGCCTTTGCTGCTTGCACTGACGCCGACCCCACTTCTCCTGTCTCCTGTCCTGGGAGTAATTCGACGGCGAGCGCTGCACCATTAGGCCCGTCTCATTTCGCGTCCTTAGGCCAACACTGGCTGGTGGAAAGCTCCCGCGTCTTCCATTTCCATGGGACCGTGACAGCTTCAAACTTATCAAGGGTCTGGATGATGGAGGCTTTTGTGGGTAGCCGGAAGTGTCACCCACCTTGGCCGCGACTTTGTTCTATGGGCCGCAAAACACCGGAAGCGTCAGGAACAGTGCATACGGAAATAGACAAAACACACACATACAAAGACGTCATGTCGGTGATGTACGTTCTGGGTGCTGCCATGTATTCAACAGGTATTGGCAAGACGCAGGTTTTCAGCAGAGTATGCTTTGAGATGACATGGATTTTGCATATACGGTCGTAGTTGGTCCTGAACACAGTAGGTCCGCTGTTGTACATACGTTTCTACACGCTTCTTCCATGTCTTTCAATACGTTCTCGCACTCTCCTTCGTTCTCGTGGCTATCAAATTCTCGATTTCCAGCGCTGGCTCGTCTGGAGCTTTGCTACCTTGCCACCCTGTACCATATCCCGTCGATGTTACTTCATCTCCTGTTACTTTCATTATCGTATAGAATATGTGGAAGCCAGAACTCTGCGAATATAAACAAGTGTGATATCAGACTTGTACATCAAGACCATGATCGTAACACCAGGTCGTCTATTTTTCCTCTACGTCTTGCTCAGTAAAAGGTTCACGCATACAGATAGTAACCTAATCATGATTGTAATACCAGGTCGTCCATCTTTCCTCTACGTCTTGCTTAGTGAAAGGTTCACGCATATGGATGGTGACCTGATCATTCACTTTGACTTGGGCCAAACGCAAACAGAGACCGCCTATAAATTCTCTGGACTGCGTGTTTCTCGCACCTCCACTCCCCTAACTCGACTATATACCGGATCGTAATCATGACCGATTCCTATCGTCCGCCGTACAATTCCGACCGACAATGGACACCAGCGTCTGCACCTTCTGAGGCTGCGCTCAACTACGACGACGCGGATGTGAACCGTATTCCGATCAATCCTCGCCGTTCCAACGCCGCAGTTCCAGCTCAATCATCACGGCTATGGGATGAAGACCTGAACTCCCTTATGCACCGCACTATCCGCGCCTACGATCTCGTCGTGAACTACGACCGCGATTCCCACGGCGGTACCCGCTGGTCACGCGAGGACATCGCTCGCATTCGAGACGTCGGCGCCTATCTTCATGGCGACGTCCGCGATTTGAAGCACTGGAGTGAAGTGGTAGCAAAGGAGGGAGAGCAAGATGCGTACACTATGGACAAGATCCGCGATGACGTCGAGAATCTGCGGAAATACTGCGACCAGATTCAAGCCATCATCAGGGATACCGAACGTGTTCCTCTGCGCCAACGTATGAAACGAGACGATGGAGTGCAGGCTGGTCAGAATGTGGATGATGACCATGGTTTTGGTGGTGGTAAGAACAACTTCCCTAGAGGTGGCACCCTAGGTACTGACTTCTCGCTGCCTCCAGACACCAACCAGCTCGTCGAGAGCACTCAAGAAGGCGAGGATATGGACGTCGAGATGAGTACCGACCTGGAGGAGAAGCTTGAAGTGGTCGATCCGACACTTAACCCACGGCAGGCCGACTGGGCGACTGCACCTTCAAAGCGATTTGCTTGGTGAACGGTCGTACATATTGGTAGCCTTCTGAAACGTGCATTCTTGCAACAGACACTGTATAACGAGTACTAG